AGACAATTGCCCAGACACATAGGAGTTGAGGACTGACATTGTACCACGTCTGCCCACTCTCCATTGTTCACAGGGGGTTTTCCTATAAAAATGCAGTATGGCAAAAATGGAGTGTAACAAAGCAGGAATCAGCACCTGAATACAGAACCATTTTGCTCCCTGCCTGCCACTGACTGAAATAAGGAGGAACTCTTTCAAGAACAAAGCAGGCTAGGAAAATCCTGCAAACTGTGTAAAAGAAAAGAGTTGGGAGAGGTCAGTCAGGAATTCTGATCAGAGAAAAATAATAGCTATAAAGGAGCTGAGAGCATGAATCTGGAACGTGAATTGAACAGGAATTCTGCAGTGCCAGACACCCAATAAAAGAACCCACCGAGAAGATGGATTGTTTCCTGTGCATTTTCCCCGTTCCTTTTCCTGGGACAGCCTTTTCTGAAGTAGTACCAAAGACAGAAGGGGCAAATCACAGCAGCTTTGGTGAAATACTGTCTTACTCTAAACCACAGTGCACACAGCAGGCGAGAGCAGAGGGCAAAGCGCTGGAGAGGAAGCAGAAAGGTATTCTCTTTGGATAACAAGTGCTTGAGCTCAATACATTTACCTGCTTTTTCCGTGAACAATTCTGGCGCCCGTGTATTGGTACATATCAGAGCTCTCATTTCTCCTTCTGTGTCCTGGGAAATTGATGCTTAAGACAGAATTAAGTTTAAGGAGATTCATCCCGCATTAATAAAGTTCAGGCTCTCAATTCAGATGGGTTAAGGACACGTTTTAAAGCCAACGCTCACAGACACACACACTCACAACTTTCACAGCCAGCCAACACAGGAGAGCCTTTTTATGGGGAATGCAGCTGTCCCCGATTCACAGTGGACATGAAACTGCATTTGTGTGTTAGTCACCTCAGGGAAATTATCTACAGAGCGACAGGGAAACAAACTTTAAAAATACTCCTGTCACCCTCAGCACTTCAGAAGAGCCCGTCACGTGCTTTCAGTTGTTCTTTCTGTGCATCCAAAGTGTGCAAAGGCACTAGAGTCGCTCACTGCCACTGCTCAGAGATGTACGGGCTAGAACCATGCAGCACAGTGGCTGCTTCACTAACGTCACTGTGCAGACAGCTGCATTTCCCGCTTGTCTACAAGGCCAGAGCCTCAGAGGGATGCTGACCTCAGGCTGTGGGCATGCCACGATGGGACTGTGCACTCCCCACTAAGCTCACATGCAAATACAGCCCTGGGAATCCCTGTCTGGATGCAGGACCGAGCAGAGCATCTGAAGAAGGTCAGACTGCAGCCATGAGCTTTTTTTTTTTTTTTTTTTTGTAATTTTTATTTGAACACAGTATTCTGACAGAATGCAAAGTCAAAATCCTCAGTTAGTATCAGTATTTACACCAGTGAGAATGGGAATAAAGGTGGAATCGATGTTTCACTTGGTAAAAAGATTTTTTGTTTTTTTGTTTTTTTAACAAGATAGAAGGCCCTCAAAAGTAGGGAATGCCAGGTTAGGATGTCAATGGAGGGTCTGAGAACAACTATCAAAACAGCCTAGTGTGAAAATCTGGGGTTTGAAGGCTCCATAGAAAAGTGTGAAAATAAAACTCCACTCTAAAAGCTGAACAACTAGATGCACTATTATCTTATCATCTTTACGTATGGTGCAGCATGAAATGGAATCACTCCACAAGTACAAGCTGATCAGTCTGCATTGCCATATAGATATATATGTATGGCATGGATACATATATAAACATATACAGCGTAAACGGCATCAGGTTGGTCCCTCTTCAAAGGTTTAAATAAGAGCAATGAAGCCTAAGCTATCTTGGAAATGGGATACTTCTAAATTAAACCAAATCATTCTCCATTAAGGGCAAGTATAAAACCACTCTCCAGCATTAATCTACCAGCATTGGGAGGTGTCACGGGGCGTTAAAAAGGAGTTGGATGGACACTCCCAGCCGTCAGGCAATCAGAGGGTTCACTCCTGCCTCGGAATGGTGCTGACTCCATCCATCTCCACACAAACCCACTGCAGTCAGCACTGTGTACCATCATTAGGTACTTCCTAACGATGCAGCTAGGTGTTGGATCGGGCTTTGAGCTGTGACAGAAACGCCAATCCAGGTGACAGTCACCACGATTTCCACCCAACAGGTGCTGACCAGTGTCGCTGGACATGTTTCTGGTCATTAGCGTTATGCATCATTTGTTTCCTATCTCAGTGGGTTAAAACTTAGGAGGCATAATGTTCAGATGACAAAAGCAGTCAAAAACTTTGCAGAAACGAGGAACAAATTGTTGCGGTCATCCACAGGAATGGAGGAACACACTGCCTGCCCACTAGTCCTCTGCTACCCCAAGGACTCTCCCCAACCCTAGACAGACCACGGTAGTTTTTTGTGCTGCATTTTATGGATCGATTCCTTAGAAAAAAAATAATCCTAGGGACCGTGGGCCAAACTTCCCCATAGTTACACCGATACTGCTGCGGTGGGTCATGCAAGGGCCGAATTTGACACAAGACTTTGATGTCAGGACCCATCCTGCCCCGATACCCTGCTCAGGATGAGTATTGCATGAGCGTCTACGCCTGCATATCCAGTCATCCTCCATTTGCATCCCAGGAGCTAAGGAAAAGATGCAAAAAAACCTCCACACTTAGCAAATGACAAGACCATTATTGTTCACAGGTTGAAATTACGTGATGCCACTGTAAAAGACTGTGTATTTTGAAGGATACACTGATAAAAGTCGCTCAATTTACCTGAGCCAAACTGCAGTCTACCCACCCCCCCCATCATCTTTCTGTTCGTCACCTTAGCACAACGGAATGGATGCCATAGTCAGCTCGGTTTGATTTTTTTTCATTTAAAGGCTTCTGTTCCTCCTAAGAGTTGTTCTTTTTTTTTTTTGTCTCCTGATTTTTTTTTCCAAATCTGAACTATCGCTACACCTTCCACATCCAAACTATGTTGAAGCTTTTATTATTTCAATACTATGACAAAAAACACGTTTCACACTAAAATAGTCACGCACCCACAGTGCACAAGCTTGCAGATCTAAAGTAGAATAAAAAAAGAAAACAATAGGAAAAAAAAAAGAGGAAAAAAAAAAACCCCAAAACCCCAACAGAAGGAACACCTCTACACAATGGGCTGGTCTTCCCCTATATAACCTCTGCCTTCCTTCTGCTCAAGCCTCCTTTCTTTTCACCTTGAAATCTCAGTGTTAGTCCTTAATTCCAAATAATAACCTCCCCCCCTCCTCTAGAGTGATAAGACACATACTACATCAGCCCCCTTTTCCAACTGTTAAAGACACGGTGCCAAGACAAGTGGAATCAACTGGAGTCTTGGCATTGATTTCCAAGCACTTGCTCTTGATTTCATGGTTTTGATTCTGCAGAGCATACACGGATGACTCTATACACATGATGTGACAGAATAGAACAGTTCAGCTGGAAAGGACCTACAATGATCATCTAGTCCAAGTGCTGATGGAGCTGGCTTTGCAGAGGGGTTTTGCATGCTGCCAAGCACCCCCATGCAAAAAAAATTAAAAATAAAAAAAATCTTTGCTTTTAAGTCAGCTTTCTAGGGTCAAAGGAAACGGTATTTACTGACATACTAAGGAGGAACTGATGCAGTCAAACATCTGAGGTGAGATCAGACCAGCCCTAACTGTACAATCTCCCTTCTGCTTCTCAAAGTTCCAGGAGGGTTCCATAAAGGAAAGAGGAGAATGTCCTAAAAAAGCAGAGATGATATTTCTCTTACGCAGTCAGGCCCAGGTCCAGCAAGGGACTTAAACTCTCAGTAAATTTAAATAGAGAAGGACTCTCACCAGCAACTCTCTCATTCCAGGTTAGGTGTGTGTTTACATGGATTGCTGGGTAAAGACCTAGATTGGTGACAAGTGGTTTGAGTACCCCCCACCCACCCCCAAAAATCCAAACCAAAAACCCAGAAGTACTTTTTTCTTACTCCAGTAAGAAATAATAATAATAATAATCATCATCATAATAATAATAACAATAATTAAGAAAAGATAAAGGGGAAACAACTACTGTAAACATCCATGTTTTAAAAATGTCTCCCTTTGCAAAGCAAGCATGCTGCTACACTAGTATCTATAGACTGTATTTACTTAAAAAAAACCAAAACAAAACAAAAAAAAGGCAGCTATTTTACACATACATTTAAACACAACAAAAGTTAAAAAAATATTTGTCAATTGTAAACACTGGAAAGAACAAAAGTTGGCAAAAATCAACATAAAATTTAAAGAAACGTAGAGTCTGAATACTGCAAATTGAAATACATCCCCGACGCTGCAATTTTGGCATTCTTCCTTTAAAAAAAAAAAACAAACCCAAATAAATTTCTAACGTGGAGAACAGAATTCAGTCACAAAGAGCTCAAGACGCTTTGCATACTGAACAAATACAAGGTGAACAGAAATTATAACTTATTTATGAGGCTTTACATATTTCAAACTCGACTGAAAAGTATAAAAATAAATTGTGGACTTTGTTCATTAAGTTCCAGCTGCACCAAGCAGTACAGTGGTTATATCTGCTATTCTAACGAAGGAAAGAACAGGGTCCTTTTTTTTTTTGTCTTTTTTTTTGTCTTTTTTTTTTTTTTTTGTCTAGGACTAGTTGATTTTGAACTTCCCAACCACATTGCAAATGGTATTTGCAATTTTGCTTATTTGAATATACACAGGGTCAGCTAAACCCTGATTTGGTTATGGGTTTAACCCTGTTTTTAAAATGTATTACTTTTTAAAAGCAAGTGCACAACAAATAGAACCTTTCTAGAAATCTTAAAAAAAAAAAAAAAAGAGAGAGAAAGAGAGAGAAGAAAAGAAAAGAAAAGGAAGAAATTCCCCCCCCCACCCCCATTTATGCATTTTCTGTTTTGTTTGTTTTTTTAAAAAAAGGCAACAAACACTAGAGGAATGAGATGCGTGTTGTGTTCTGTGTTTTAAATGCTTGGGTGAAGTTGTTCTGTCATTTGTTCTCATCTGTCGCTGATCATGCTTTGCTCTCATTTTCATTTGTTTGTGTGGCTTCATTGGGGACCGTCTTGACTTCTGCTGGAGGTGTCTTAGATTCCGTTGCTTGCACTTCAGATTTGTCTTCTACTGGGATTTTCCTGAAGAAGAATCACCAAAATGGCACAGTTTAGAGGCAAAGAAATACAGATTGTCTATTGCTGAATTAGTGACAGGGAAATAATATGTTTCTGGAATAGAGCAAATACATCGCCTTGCTAGAGCAAAAGGAGCATTTCCAGATGCAGAAAAAAGTAAAACCAAACTCACCCCCTGCCCCAGCCTCATTTAGCTCTAGTAGAATCTTTTTTGCTTTTCCTCTTGCCCTGAGTTAACATACTACTAGGACGAGGTCTCGGGATGCAGCAGAGGTGCAAGGCGCGCTGTGGTGTGAAAAAAGGAGCAAAAGGGAAAACTCGCACAGTTGCAAAGGGATTTGATTTTACCATCGCTCATTTAAGTCACCCAAATGTCCTATTAAAAGGGACTGCCACTTTAG